AATCGACGTTTACTGCTGGCTTCACAAAACTGTTATTTTCTGTGTCGCAGAGATAATTTTGGGATCGAAGCAACGCGGTACGTATCAACACATCGTTCTTACATGTGCCTAAAGTCCTTGATTTTGAACGTAAGCTTCTCTTTAGCGCTCTTCTCACCTCAGATTTTTTTTTCCAGGTACGTTGACATGTGCATGAAGGATACTGATCTTCCCATCGAAAATAATATGCAACCTATTCTGGTTTTCCAGAAGAAGCTGGAGGCCAAGGCAAATGTGGAATCCTCCTCCTCTAACTTGTTGTTGTTGAGGGCAACAGCAAGTTAGCGGAGGTTTTCTAGTCATTTTTTCCCGTATGAATTCAGTTTTATCTGTTCGTTATGTTTTGTATGATTTATTAGGAATCATGAAGAATCTCGCACAGAAGGTTAACTCTTTGCGGACAAGGGCAGAAGGAAGAAGCCAAGGAACTATTCAAAACGGAGGGCCTAAGGGCCGATACGATGACATATATATTACAAAAAAATATCATATTTTTAAAGACGAATAAAAAGGAAATGAAAGAAAGTATTCTGAGCTGATCGTGTAGTGAAAGTATTCTAAGCTGGTTCGATCGTGACCGCGCGAGTATATTTATAATACTAAAGATGCCGCGGAATGGAGTCACGATTCACGCACGTAGGTATACTTCAAGTGGCATTTTGACCCGTAAAACGGCGGGGCCCGCTGGGGCCCGCCGACCATTTCAGATTCTTGAACAACGAAACTAATAGATTATGCTAAAAATGGAGGTCAGGGGTCGTTGAACACAGAGAAGATGTAGACTGAAAAGCATAAACGATAGCTCTCAACTAAACAAAGGGATTATGCGCATGAAGAATTACAACGAACAATATCAATAGAAAACAAACATACATCATATTGTTTTAAGAACTGCGGCTTGCTACATCTGTCTACTCAAACTTTTCCAAAAAAAATCATCGTAAATCACTTGATAAACGGCGAAAATCGAAGAAAATCGAAGAGACTACCAGCGCAAAGGTGAAAGAATCAGTCCGCCATCTGCAATGATGTGATTGGACAAAATTGGTCACGTGGACCGTGTCCAACACCGCCTGACAGCATTCGGTATAAATTCGAACACACCAATTGCTGGCTATAGATGCACGTTCTGAACTTGAAACACAATCATTATAAACAGCAGATAAAATAACAGAAGTGCACAGCGCCCCTGCAAAAGATACATTCCAAAGCTTGTTTTTTTTTTTCATAAATGTTTTAGGACACAGCATGGAAGAATTTCTTCCCTCCTTCCCAAATGTGGGGGGCAGAATTACGTGACGTGACATGCTTTGCATGACTCCACTGAAAGCTGGTTTGCCTGTGGCGGTTCGACGGTTGTTTTCGTTTTGCTGTGGCGGCAAGTGAAATTGTCACAGTTCAAATTTTTCGTTCATTTCCTTCTGGAGGTCTTTCCGAGGAATCGTCTGAGAAGTTCTATGGACTATGGACTAACACAGTCTCAGGTGGGTATCGTTGGATTAAAAATTGTTAATTCGTTAAATCGCATAAATCGCTGCGTAAAATTCAGAACACGGAACAGGTTACTCGTGACTTTTGTTGTATTTTTTACCACTTTGTGGACTCTTTGACACTTAATACTTTAATTCAGCTTTATTTAAAAAATCTATACACATTTCGGACCAATATTGTCTCAAGAAGTTACCGAATAATTAAAGGTTTGGCGCCTACCGTAATTCGCATTTGGTTGTGCTTCGGTCAGAGGTCACGTTTTTTCGCCCTTGTTTAGTGTAATATTTACATTTGCTTGGCTTTGTCAGCGCTCGTGATTTCATTTACCCCAAAATTTTATTTCGCTAATTTGAAGAAAAAAGAATGCTCTTTCAGACTAAACAAGCCTTGGTGTTCAAAGCCATGTACCAATCCGCTTTTTCAGCTCGGTCAACAACTTTGAAAATTTCTTTAAAAATCTCTTGTTGACCAAATCGCGAACTAATCAGTTAAAATTATAGAGGAAAGATAGTAAAAATACGAAGTGTCATTATATTTTAGTTGCCAACTTTATTTTAAAATTTACGAGTTACTGAATATGACTCTAATTTTGCATGATTTTTGCCTATTTTAGGCCTCGGGAAGAAAAAAATTCGTTAAAAAAATATTATTCACTCGATCGTACTTAAAAACCAACGATTTTGTAACTAGGGCCCATAGGGCTTTATTCTGGCTGAGTTTGAGGCCAGGTCATTTTTTGACTATTTCCACGTAAAGTTGATATTTACGCGGAGTCGCTCTTAAGTTCGAAACATGGAAAGTTCGACGTTTGAACTGAGGCCAATAGATTCAGAACAAAAAGTTAAGATTTCTAGTAATTCCTGTCTTACGTCAAATCCAGACCCTCATTATAAATTTTAGTGAAAGTTTTCGAAAGGCGGCATTATTTTCTTCATAGTTCACGATGTGTAGCGTTAGCAATTTGGTAAGACTGAAAGAAGGCTGGTGGAATAATGAATGTCTCAGTATGTGCATAATAAGCACAATACTACATGAAAAGTGATTTGTACGGTATTAGCGCACTCGTTTTTGTATCAGGAATCTAACTAGTGAGCGCCGTGAACGTACATACAGGCGCACTATCCATGAATCTGGTGAGGTAAAAGTGACCAAGCCCTAAGGTATCTACTGTTTGTCCCAAATATTTCAAAAATAAAAGAAATAGATAAAAATATCATTCCTGGTAAGAAGACAATGCAATAATGTCAGATATTTTTAGGGGAACAGAAAACTGTTTCGGCAATATATAGTCTCGCCTTGTCTCTTAGGGTCTGTTTACATGCATACCTACATACATACATGGAAGTGGGGGACCCTGGGTAAATGAGGTAACCCGCGGCGGGCAACCCCACCTATAATGTAAATGTGATCAAATAAAAATGAGAGATTATATGGACAGGCGGGTTACCCAACCTAAGCCGGGTTACCTCCTATCTGGGCCCCCCCACCTCCATGTAAACAGGCCCTTAGTCAGCAACTTTCACAGCGATATGTGCGTGAGCGGAGGAGGGTTGGAAACGAAGTCAATAGTCCCTGGATGCCCAGGCTGCCCTCGACTTCCCCTCCTGCTCCCGTCTCCCCCCCCCCCCACCCCGCACCCCCACGAACAGCCTGTGTACAGCCACTCCCTGTTCGAAAGGAGAGGGGGGCTGCACACAGGCTACCGTGCGACCGTGCGATCCGAACTCTCTAAGAATGTCTGGTAACAAGGCTGGTGAATGAGAAAAGCGAAGTTTCAAGCCAAAAGAATCAAAATCAGAATAAAAAAGATCAATGATCTTGATCAAAATGGCTGAAAACTGTGGCAGTGACGTCTATGGTGCCTTGCTCTTTTCTAGAAGATCAACTGCTATTGGAATGCGCACCTGATTACAGCTCATTTCGAGAGAAAAGATTTCTAAAATAGACTGAAAATCTAACGCAGTTATTGGTGCCGCGAAGGATGCTTCGGGGTGATTGGTTCCCGCAAGATTATTGCCCCCTCAGGGATTTCGCCCAGAAGGCGAAATCCCGAGGAGGCACTCTAGAAACTCGCGCGTATATCAAGGAAATTACTTACAGTTGAAATATACAGTCAGTATGCCAGAAAAAATGTCGATTTGCTTGAACAGGGGCCGCGAGGAATCGGTAGGTATTAAATGATGACGTTTCTATTGTTTGCACCCACAAGTACGAAATGGTTAGGGTGACGTAAAGACAGAAAATCCCGAAGGGACCGCTTAGGTAGATTTTGTGACATTTATTGTGCAGTCATACTTCGATACTCTTTTGCGTTACCTGTTATCAGTAACAGTCTCTGCACAGGCAGCCCAAGCGCACCATGTTTGGGTTCGGGCTTCAGAGCTCATTTGGTCGGAATATACTAGAATTATTAGTGTATTATCTGATGCCAAATAAATGCAAAAAAGGGGCTTAAAGATATGAAGTCTTCTTGTTTGTCTATCTGTACTAGTAGCCTTTAAGATAACGAAGGTCGAGATTTCTTGCATCATTACATGTGATTCGGGCCCTTATTGTTCGAATTTTATCACATGTACATTCGAATCTACAACGCTAAGGAAAAAAATCATGATCACGCGAAATATTGATTCAAAAATCTCTCTTACCTTTAGTTCATAGCCACTCTGTCCTACGGCCGGTTTAAACGCCGTTTGGTCGACTTTCTTTCCATCGAGTACTTAAAACTAGTGCTCGATGGAAAGAAAGTCGACTAAACGGCATTTAAACCGGCTGTAGGACACAGAGTGGCTATGAACTAGAGGTGAGGGACCTTTTTGAATCAATATTTCGCGTGATGATGATTTTTTTCTCTGATAAAATTCGAACAATAAGGACCCGAATCACATGTAATAATGCAAGAAAACTCGGCTTTCGTTATCTTAAAGGCTACTAGTACAGATAGACAAACAGGAAGACTTCATATCTTTAAGATTTTTTGCATTTATTTGGCATTAGATAATACACTAATAATTTTAGTATATTCCGACCAAATGACCTCTGAAGCCCGAACCCAAACATAGTGCGCTTGGGCTGCCTGTGTTCTGTGGAGCAGTTGTTTTGAAAGTTATGGACCAAAAGACACTCGTTACTGCGCTTTTCAAAAACATGCGAATTCTGAAGTTCAAAAGCCAACTAACGATTGCGTTTTCGCTGCCGTCAATCATCTTAACGGACCTCTCAGGAAACAAAACTTAACTTTAACAGGTTCAAAAGGTCATGGTTTCTGATTTGTGATTGGAGGATTTCGTTCCGTTTTGTGTGTTTCCGTGTTTCAAGGTTCGTTACTTGTGATCGTAATTATGATTGATGGCAGCCAAAAACGCAATTGTGAACGCGGCTTTTGAACTTTGGAGTTCGCATGTTTGTGAAAAGCGCAGTAAGCGCAGATGAAGTTATAAGGTGCGTATAACTGTGTATATATAAACACTTGGAGAGTTTGCCAGACACGAGTTCACAAATGTTTCATTCGAAACCTTGCCAGACACTCTTTCTCTCTTTCGACCGGAATAAGACTCAGCCCCAAACAAGCAAGACGAGTGAACAATGGCTAGCTTATCACTGGCAGAACGATGGACGATTACAGAAATTCGCCGACAATCAAATTCTGTGCTGACATATTCCCTTCTCACAGATGTCCTTCCACTATTAAGTTTCAAATAAGACTAGAATGCGCGAGCGTGAATTGAGCAAACGTCCTTTTAATTTCTAAGGCTTACTACTTTCCGGCAAATAAAATGAATTGAATGTAAAAAGTGAAAGAGAAATAGCGAAAATTCAACTTCTAATTAAATCTTTTCTTATGGTTTAGAATAAACTATTCTCGAAACTGAGAATGTTTTGATCAAAGCTGTGTAAATCGAACCGAAACTGTGCATGGACAGGGGCACCCAACGAGGACATAGTTCAAAACCACTTAACATAGCATTGTTAAACGTATTTTAGTATTTAAACGGTAGATATAGGCATATTTTTATCCCCTAAAAACTTTTCATCTGTTCTGATTTCCTAGCTGAAAGTCTAGTGATCCGCAAATTATAGGGATCAAAACTTACCTTTTCGAAAATTTCAGCCAGCAAAAGGCTCCCGAAAATTCTAGGTGGCCTTTTTTAGGGTAAATATCCGTTTAAAATGGGCAATTATACCATTTTGTAGATGTTCGAAAATCCTAGGAGAGGCAGGCAAGCAAGAAATTTTACAACAAATGTTCCGAAAATTCTAGTACTCAAATCGTCTTCCGAACAGATATTTTCCCGAAAATTGCCGTTGGGTGCCCCTGCATGGAACCTTGCGTTTCCTGTATTTATCTCACCTATTGTATGGAATGGGTGTGAAAATCTTCATTATGAATCGGTATATTTCAAAGAGTTACACAACGAGCAAGAATACTATTGACCGACAACATACAGAGTGGGGGCAGCTGACAACTATTACTAGTGAAGTATGTGTTTTTTTTAAGGTGGGGGTGTCCGCCAAGGAAACCGAAACACAGATTGTTGCGAGGGAATTCGAGGCAAATATCGTGGGTAAGTACAGAGTAGAATCCAAACCTACGCGATGCGCGATGCGATGAAACCGGACTGGATCAGTGGATACTACACTTCTAGAGTTTTGATTAGCGAGTCGTGAGTCTTATAGTGTGTATTTTTCACTATGTAGGCTGGGGTAAGGTTAACAATTTTTCTAAGAAGGAAGATTGAAGAAAGCATCTACAAATACGTCTACTTCCCTCCCCCCACCCCGCACTTTTTTTAACCAAAAATTGTTCTTTCCCCACCCTTGTTTTGCAAATCACCGATCAGATCTACGAAAGGGGCATTGAAGATTTTAAGATGGAATCCACCACGACATTGATTGATTGATTTTCAGTGGACAAAAATCTTGTACCAGAGTAATTTAAAGCATATTGCATTCTTTCTTACATTTTTCAAGGGCTAACGATGTAATAAATCATCCGTAGTAACACCAAAAAAAATTACTTATGAGAGCCCGAGAAAACAAATGTCAAATTTCACAAAATGACATCTTACACGTGAAATTTTCAGAATTTTACCTCTGTAATCACAATTCTTGTGGAATTTGACATTCATTTTCTCGGACTTCCATGAGAAATTTTCTTTGGTGTTACTACAGATGATTTATTACATCTTTAGCCCTTGAAAAATGTAAAATGTAATTTATTCTGGTACAAGGTTTTTGTCCACTGAAAATTAAAATTACTCGACAAGTTCCTGATGGATTCCGTCTTAACACTGTAGAATGCAGTCCTTTCAGTTGTCCTTTCTCGGTCAATACTAACTCCAAATCGATTTACAGGATTTGTGCAGAATCCAGAAATCCGGGTATTAGTGTCGTCACGCAGGAGCGTTGCGTGACGACACTAATAACGGCTGTGTAGCAGACTAGGTTTCATCTTGTACAGATTTAATAACCTTTAACATGTATTAAGTATTTCAATTTACAGAGTTTAATAATCCGGATGAAATGCAAAAAAATCTAAGTAAAGGCGACGTTGGACGAGTACTTGTGGATCGAATCACAGCGTTTCACTTCTTAGATAAATCTGGATTGAAAAAGAACAGGCAAATACGCCTGATTCGAAACATTGATTATCCCATGGATTCCTTCATGGCTTTTATAAAAAGAGACAGCTCACCACTTGAAATTGCAGAATGTGGGCCATACAAGAAAACCTAGGGTAAATAGAGTTCAAAGTTCAGGGACAATGACATAGCTACAAAATATTAACGTCAAACTATTCAATTTATAGAGTTTGACAACCTGGAACAAATGCAAAGGAATTTGACTAGTGGAAATATTGGCCAAGTACTTGTGGATCGAAACACTGCGTTTCACTTCTTGGATAAATCAGGGTTGAAAAGGAACAGGCAAATACGCCTAATTCGAAACATTGATTATCCCATGGATTACTTCCTAGCTTTTACAAAAAGAGACAGCTCACCCCTTGAAATTGCAGGATGTGGGCCTACTTTGAAAGAGTTACAGGGAGATTTAGTGTCGGTTGCCAAGTCAGCAGCTCAAGAACGACTCATACCCGCCGAGATGCAGGTAAATAACTTTCATAATTAGCAATTATTGAATATTGAATAAGGCTGACAAGGATGTAAAGAATTATGCAAATTGAGGAGGATGTTATCCACTGAGACTGATTGAAGCCAATCAGAAACGGCAAAATATTTTGAATGAATAATAATTATTCTTAGACTGTCTGCAAACGTCCTCAGTGACGAAGAGCGAGGAGAAACGGATGTTTTCGCAGGCTAACTGTCTGAGCGTCTGGGCATCGACCTAACCATCAAACCCCAGAAGAGGTAACTACACTTCAAAAGCGGGTCATAAGAATAGTGCCGAGTAGTGCTTTTGATAATCACCATGACCCTTTGTTAAAATTAAACATTTTGGAATTTTGGAATATTGAGAGTATTTATGGAAACTTCAAATAGGAAAATTTATGAAATTCAAGGTCAACTAACGGTTATGTATGTTTGTTGGTAGATAGCTATAGGCAGGTAGGTACTAGTTAAGTACGTGTACACAATATATTTTGTAACGTTTTGTTAGTTTCACAAGAGTATGTAAATAGGTTGCATAATACTGCTGAAGTATTTAAGGCGTGCTTGTAAGGTGTCTCAAGGGGCTAGTAAACTATTTAAGGTTTGTTAAGCTATGCAAGAGCCATTCGAGGCATCTCTTTCAACCCTAGTTTTTTTACGCTATGTCGGTTTCTGAAACAGCGAGCGTCCCTCACGCGTCTTCGGAAACTAATAACGCCGGAGACTCTTCTCAACCGAGTGCCTCGGATACGTCCTTAACAAACGCTGAAACTTTGCAGTTATTTTCCCCACTTTTGGACGTCAAATTTGATCAAAAGTTCGCCGCGCTTTCGATTTCGAGGACAAAGAAGCTGCCACGCAATCGCAGCTTAAGAAGCTGAAAACCGAATCGAAAGCTTCAAATTCCTTTACTTTCAAGGAAAACAAAGTACAGTACGAACTTAACATCTCTTTGCGCGACTTAGTGGACGGTGACATTAAGAACATCTCAAAAGGAAACCTTTCAGCAGCGATTTCCGAACTTGAATCAGTAAAGACACTTACACCTTTTGCTGTTCATTACGAGAAAAGACGCAATCATTTGCGTGAAACGGCGACCAATAGTGCGAAGCCTTGTACATTCATTAGCGCGAAAATACGAACATTTGCGCATGCAGATTCAATTACGATTTTTGCATTTTAATCAACATTCAATAACACTTTTGGGCATTCATATGTGTCATTGGGCATACAAAAAAGAAAAATATACTTTCATTGACACCAACATCAAAGTCATTAACATGATCTTGAAAGTCAACAGGGACAACTGACACACATAAAAGTGCAAACACTATGCATTAACATATTTTGACTCCACTACACAACATCAACAGACAAAACGTAATGGCAAATAAGTTTATTTTGGGACGGCTTGGCGAGAACCAACCCTACAAAGTACTTATGTAAATACAATAATAGGTGATTACTGGTGAATACGTAATGTACAACACTTGTAAACTAGCTTTCACAAAAAGAAAAAACTCGTGCTACTAATAGTCGCTCTTGACCTGAATCTCCCAGTTAAGCACGCAGGCTTAGTGCCAGTTAGGCTGCCAGTTATTCTGGGGAAACTAATTAATAAAACTCTGACAACGGATAACTGGCACAGGGAACGCGGTAGGAGCACAGAGGCTAAGAGAAAAGAAAAAAACTGCTACAACTGGTCGATCTCGACCTGAATCCCCCAAATAAGCACGCAGGCTTAGTGCCAGTTAGGCTGCCAGTTAGGCTAGGGAAACAAATTAATAAAACTCTGACAACGCATAACTGGCACAGGGAACACGGTAGGAGCACAGAGGCTAAGCAAAAAGAAAGAACTGCTACAACTGGTCGATCTCGACCCGAATCTCCCAAAGAAGCACGCAGGCTTAGTGCCAGTTAGGCTGGGGAAATTTAATAAAACTCTGATCAACGGATAACTGGGACCAGGAAAACTTTAGGGCACAGAGGCTGAGTGACAGGAAAACTGGGAATTATCTCCACTAATGTACCTAACAAGGCACGTAGCCCAATAACCAGTAAGGCTGCCACAAAAGGCTAAGGCAGGACATTGAGGGTAAACAAATGGATAACGACCTTGGTTAGAGGTCTGTAACATTGCCTGCAACCTAACTTCGTCAACCCAGACTTATGTCGCCTCCTAAAGAGCGGTTCCGGGACAGCTGACCTAGGCATACATAGAAACTAAATATATCAAGTAAAGGAGCCGGTGCAAAACTGAGATAACTGTACAAAAGTACAAAAAATAACAAATGGGAAAAAGCTGAAAACTAGCAGAGCTGGGCTACCGCTTACAAACTGAAGTAAATGCGGTCAGAAGGAGGCCAGAAAAAACCTGCCCAAAAAAACCCCGAAGGGAAAAAATGCGGGCAGGAAATCTGGGTAGGAACCAAGGCTCAAGCTCAAAGCCCTTCCTACGGGACTTTACAATGTAATCGAGAAGAGATTGCTCCTAAAAAGAAATAAACCAAAAATTTGAGAAAAACCAAAGAGAGGTTGGTTCGTAAGCCTAGATGACATGCACGTGATATACGCAGCTTTATATACCCCCGATATGGCTACCCATGGTGCACCCGGCCTAGTACCTAGGCCCTGTTGTAACTCGTGCCGTCAAAATATTTATTTCTGCCTTCTTCGCGGGCTCATTCGTCAGAAATAACATATTTTGACTCCACTACACAACATCAACAGACAAAACGTAATGGCAAATAAGTTTATTTTGGGACGGCTTGGCGAGAACCAACACTACAAAGTACGTAGAGTGACAAAGTATTGGGCGAATTGACAAATGAAAGCTCCTGAAGCCCAATAAACTTGGAAACTGAAAGCCTTTTTTCTAGGTCATCATCGGTAGGCGTCCTTGGCTAGAACGGACCTCCAATGGCCGAGCCACTGAAACACACTGTCACTAACCCCATTATAAGCATCGGAAGTGGCCCCTCTCGAACGTAAGGAATAAAAACCAAAAGTGGAAGGGTCAACCCCGACACTTCTCAGGTCCTTGCGAAAAGCCTCTCTAATTGTGGTATAGCTGATAGGCTCGTCCTGGGAAACTAACTTAATAGAGTTGTTCCCGCGAGACATGGAGCTAAAAATGAGATCCCTGGAGCTAGAGGGGATGGAAAAATGAACAAGGTACCTCTTAAGAAGCTTGACAGGACAAGCAGGGCCAAACATTTCCGAAAAAATCACTTCGACTCATCGCCCTTACAAAGTTGGTCGTTCTTGCTTTTGAGAACCTAAATGATCATGAAACCCTCATGAAAGAAAATATAATTCCCCCTAATTATGGAGACCTCATGAAACCTAAAATCCTTTTGGAGGCACACATAACCCCTTCAATAATCGGGTTATCCGTGGGAGAAGGGACACCCGCCATGGTATGAGCCCATTTTTAAATACCGTAAACAGCCGAGTCTACGACGCACGGGGAGTGCGACTCTTCAATGAGGTGTTGCAAATACAAGGCATGGCAGGGACTGGCAGGACAGGCCCAGGGGCCCGTTTCTCGAAAGTCCCGGTAACTTTTCGGGCCCGAAATCAAATATTCAAATCGAAATAAAAAGAATAAGAGCGCGGCTCCTGGCAAGCAAACTACTCCATTTTGTTTCTTTAACTGATAGTTTTATCATGTTAGATGCAAAACTATTGAAACCTCTATCTTTAATGGAAACCGAGACAGCTTACCGGGTCCGTTAATTATGGGGACTTTCGAGAAACGGGCCCCAGGAATGAAGCTTACTGGCAGCAAAGCATTTTTACTTGTGAGAAGCACGAAGGTACACCATTGTCGTACTAACGGCTTTTGAGGAGACAACCGTCGATTGCATTGTAGACTGTCTGTCAGCCTCAGGATTCAACCCTCTGGTGGGAAATTCTGGGGCAAAACGCTAGAAACCAGAGCGGAATATATCTGAAAAGTAATCGAAAATATAAAAAGAAAATGTGAGGAGCACGAAATAAAAAGGAATTGAAAAAAAAAAGCGAGCTTAAAACACCGGAAAAGGGAAGTGAGAGGAGAGTGGGGGGGGGGGGTAAAGGTACGCATAACACGCGTGTAGAGGCACAGGTAACACTTTCTGTCAGGCGGCGTAGAGCAGAAGTCCGCCAGGGACGAGGGAGGTCTGGGGCGCCGAAAATAAACTCGAAGCGCTATGACCGCCAAAAACTAAAGGCCTGGTTCTGAAAAGGGAATTTCGGACCTTCCCTGGAACAAATAATCCCTGGAACTTAGGCAAAAAAACCCAGTCGACAACAGAACTATTCCAATGCACTCCATCTCTAGTAGAAACATTCCAGAAAATAGCTGACTTCCATAAGTGAGGAATAAAGGTTCCCGTGAGCGCGGCAGAGCCCAATGTGTCTGATGTCTCTGACAATGAGGCAAACAGGTGGGCCAAGCCAGTTGTTGTCCTAACCCCAATTTTGAGCGAAGGCATAAACAGCCTAACAGTCTGGCTGAAAAAATCGAGAGTTAATAAAGCCTAGGTAACTCACCGTTGTAGCTACAGGCGAACCTGTCAATAGTGTAAGGACCTAAGAGGTGATTTAGCCCTTGAAAAACAAAAACGTTGAGGCCGTAACCATCGAGGTCAACGAGCTTGCAGATACAGTCCGCACTGGCGTTCAGGTCCCTAGGGACCCACTTGACCTCGAATGAAATACAATGATGGGAGCAAATTTGAAAAACAACTAGGGCTAAATCCTGGAGATCGCGTTTCCCGCTGCCGTCGCGAAGAATGGATTCGACGTTCTGATTGTCAGGATACCAAAAAACCTTGGAATTAGATAAAGGGCTCGCGAAGGCTAGTAAGGCAAGAC